TCTTTGGATTTCATGACTTGGAATACTTCTTTCCAGCCCTTTCTTGCCTGCAAGTTTTCCTTTGAGAAATCAGCTGAGAGTCTTATGGGAATGCCTTTGTAGGTAACTGTCTCCTTTTCTCCTGCAGCTTTTAAGATTCTGTCCTTATCTTTAATCTTGGCTAATGTAGTTATGATGCGTCTTGGTATGTGCTTTCTTGGGTCCAATTTCTTTGGGACTTTCTGAGCTCCCTAGACTTCCTGAAAGTCTATTTCCTTTGCCAAATTAGGGAAGTTCTTCATTATTTTTTCAAATAAGTTTTCCATTTCTTGTTCTTCCTCTTTTTCTTCTGGCACCCCTATGATTCAGATGTTGGAATGTTTAAAGTTGTTCCAGAGATTCCTAAGTCTCTTCTCATTTTTTTGAATTCTCGTTTCTTCATTGTGTTCCTGTTGAATGTTTATTTCTTCTTCCTGCTCCAAATCATTGATTTGAGTCCTGGTTTCCTTTCCAGCACTGTTGGTTCCCTGTACATTTTCCTTTATTTCACTTTTCATAGCCTTCACTTCTTCCTCTATTTTGTGACCATACTCAACTAATTCTGTGAGCATCCTGATTACCAGTGTTTTGAACTCTGCATTGGGTAGGTTGTCTGTCTCCTCATTATTTAGTTTTATTTTTGGAGCTTTGATCTGTTCTTTCATTTGGGCCATATTTTTTTTTGTCTTGGTGTGCCTGTTAGATAGTAAGGGGCAGGGCCTTAAGTATTTGCCAGGGCAGGGCAACCCATATCGCTTTGTTGTGGTGATGTATGTGGGGGAGGGGTGAGAGGGGGAACAATGCCACTCAGCTCTCTCCCTGCTTTCAACCACTTTTCTTCCCCTACCCACAAGCAAATTGGGTCTTTCTGGTGCTGGTTTCCGGGTGGGTGGGTCTCTCCAACAAACTCTCTTGTAAGGCTGGAAATTTCTTCCACCACTGCAACCCCTGCAGATTTTTACAACCAGAGGTTTTGAGACTTTATTCTGAACCTCCACGCTGCAACCCTGGGCTGCGTGGTCTGTCTCGCTCCCCCGTTGTTCCACCCAGTTCATCCTCATGCAAATGTGGGACTGCCCACCCCCTCGTCAGCCTGGCCCTTCACGGGCTGCCATGCTGTGAGTCCTCTCCACCCTGGCTGCCCATCTCTGTCCCTCCTACTGGTTTGAATGAATGTTGCTTCTTAACTCCTTGGTGGTTAGACTTCCATATAGTTCAAATTCTGACAGTTATGCTTGTTTTTTGCTTTTAAATTTGTTGTCATTCTTCCTTTGGTTGTGCGAGGAGGCAAAGTATATCTCTACCTATGCCTTCATCTTGGCCAGAAGTCTGAATGACTATATTATTTATTTTTACAGAACTGAATTATATGTACTCTGTGGTAATCTACCTCTTTCCCACTTGGCAGAATGTTGTTAACGTGACCCTATCTTTAAGCAAGAGCAGAGAGAATTCAGGCCTGCCCTCATATACCCCTCTTTCAGTCAGAAGCCACTTTCACCCTTGGAAAGGTGTTTTTGTTTTGTTTTGTTTTTAGCTGAATTAACTCTTCCCACCAGGCAGCTGAAGTCTTACTGTTTGACACTCCACCCATACAGCTGGGGACCATTCTCTGTGTGTTAAGTAGAAATGTAGCTGCATTTTAAACAGAGGCGGAACGCACTGCAGGCGTTTAGGGTGGCACAATGAACAGGGAGCCTACGGAACGTCTCCTGCACAGAGTCAGGAGATGCAGACACAACAGTGGGATCCCCAGTGAGGCCTTCGGCAGGAGCAGGAAGACTTCCTGGAGGAGGGGGTCCGAGGTGGGTTTTATAGAATGGATGAAGGTCACTAGTGGAAGGGAAGTTCAACAGAGGAAGTTCAGGGAGAGGGAAAGAAGAGAGGAAACACCAGAAAAGGCATGGAAGTAGAAAAATAGAAGGTATACTTTTCTGCCTATGAAATTGTCAAATATCTTTAAAGCCCAGTGTCTAGTGCTGAAAAAGGTGCGGAGAGAGGCATCAGCCCCGGCTCTGGTTGGAGTGTGGGGTGGCGCAGTGTCTGTCTGTGGGAGGCAGCTGGGGCAGAGACTCCGGCAGCTGGGGCTGTGGCCTGCGGGTCCTCTGACCTGGAAGATGCTTTAAAATGTATACGCAGGGGTCTGCATTGAATTGTTACTCATAGTCATGAAATAGGGAAAACCCAGAGTGTCCATCACTGTGTATAATTTTTAAATTTATACACATCACGGTGTATACTGAATTTATATTAATATTCCTTTTAATTTAATTGAGCTTTAAAAAAAAAAGTTCATGTGTGTTCTGGGAGCCCAGTCCTCCGGCCGGCTAGAGCACAGGCCGTGGTGGGGGAGGTCCTGGGACTCACTTGGGCAGAGTGGCCCGAGCTTCCCTGGGAGTCCACGGGGGTGGGGACAGGTTGGGGGAGTGAAACTGTGGTGTGAGTAGTCCAGGTGCTTTGGGTGCACAGGAGGAGAGTGTCCAGTACGATTTGAGGTCCCTTTCGTGGCGGAGACCCTCTGGACGTGCCAGGGGCTTTCTGGTGGTCAGTTCTGGAGCCTGCAAGGACGGGCAGTGCCAGACACTTGGTCATTCTGCGCGTGCCCGGCCACCGTGGGAAGCATTAGCTCTGCACCACGTGCTGAGCTGGGTCCAGCACTTGTGCAGAGCGAGGGGAGCCTTCCTGTCCCATGAGAGCTCTGGGAGTTGGGGAGGTGACCAGAAAGTAACCGTGGCATGGGGATCTCAGGGCCAACGACAGAACTAGAGCAGCCCCAGGTTACTTCCGAGGACTGGGCAGTGGTACAGCCTGGGATCTCACAGGGACAGGCTGACAAGGGAAGGGACACAGTCGAGACATGGCAGGAAGTGCCTGGGGGATGCAGCTTGGTGGTCAGAAGGACACTTCAGGGAGGGTGCAGCCTTGTACTACAACCTGCAGTGTCCAAGGGACCAGAGTCTTGGGTGCAGTTGCAGCACCAGCAGTACCCAGGGGAACTGGCGTGTTGGGGACCTGGGCAGCAGCAGCGATCCTGGGGGTCAGGTGGGGACCTGCCCCTCTGTCCTGGGTTTTCCTGCGGGTCACAGCATCACTCTGCCAGCAGCTGGGGTGGAGGGACCTGGGGCCGGTCTCCACGAGGTTTGGCAGAGATGAGGAGCGGTCGGTCAGCTGCTGCCTGAAGTCCGAGCAGGTGAAGAATGCGGGGAGGCATTGGAGGCCGTGGGTTTCGAATTCTCCTTCTAGGAGTTCACAGTGAATTAAGAAAAGAAGAAGGGAGGTGGCTTCAGCAAGTTATGAAACCAGAGGAGAGAGGTTTGGGTTGGTTTGTTTTTTGCAATACAGGAGCCCTTATACATGTTTGTAGGTGAAAGAAAGAAGTAGAGCTGGGGGCTGGAGGTGGGGGGATGAAAGGAGACCTTTGATGAAACGAATCTTGGAGAAGGTGGGAAGGGAGGCTCTCAGGTGCTCGGGAAGCTCGGCAAAGAGGGCCATGCCGTGCCCCTGAGTGATAAGTCCTCTCCTGCAAAGCCAAGCAATGCCTTGGTCAACGTAAGACGTTATTTTGGTTGTTACAGAAATATAACACCACTAGAGAAAGTTTGGAAATAGAAACATGATCCTACCATATTAACCCAAAGGCTATTGTTGTTTTTTGTACACTTCCTTCTACAGTAATATTAACACGGAATCTTCACATATTCCAATCACAGACATTTTTCACTGAACGTTACAGCACAGGCATTTTCTACATTGCTGCCTAGTCTTCATAATGACTTCAGTAATATTCTGCCAAGTAGTTGACATGGGAGTTGTTGAAAAAACGGATGAGACTGTAACAAAAATGTTCATGGGCACACACATTTCAGACTGTCTCCTTGGGCAGGACGCCCAGAAGTTCGAGCAGTAGGTCATGGCTCCTGTTACCTTTTAATATGTGCTCACCCCAAATTGCTGGTTCTCTACCTAAACCATCAGCAAAATGATTCGCTTTTCCTAATGCTTTATTTTTCTAAATTGGCATGTCCACAGCTTAGCGTGGTAAAGGTCATTGTAACTTTCCAGAATTTCCTAGGCCAGGGAGGGGTCTCCGGCATGGCCTTTGGCTGGTAATCTCCGCGTCGGAGGAGTCAGGAGGCCCCTGCTAGCGCAGAAGGGAGGTTGCTCAGGCTGCTCTGTCACTGTGCACACTCGGCTCACAACCTGCGGACCCCCTCCTCCTAACGCATGCTGAGCACGGACCCCAGGCTGGAGCTGCCTGTTGGGGGTGCGCTGTTCGCCCCTGGCTGGGCTGGGTCCTGTGCGTCTGCCCTGCGCGCCTGTGCACTCCTCCAGGTGTTGGCCCCACTTCAGAGGAAGCCCTGCGGGTAAAGAAAAGGCAGATAAAAGCAAAGCGATGATAAGGTGACAGTAAATTTAAAAAGTAAGCTTTCAGGCATTATCAAATATCACTCATTTTCAAATCTGTGTGTGGAGTGGATATTCCAGTTTTCAGAGTGTGTGTGTGTTTAAAGGCCTTTTACAGAATTGTGCAATCCTTTGCATCCTAACCGTGCTGTGCTTGGCACTAGACAGCTGTCAGGGCAGACTTGTAACTGCAAGGGATAGGGGTTCAGGTGCAGGCACGTAGGGACTGGTTTGCTCCTGGGACTGCAGTCTGACCTCAATGCACTGGTGATCTGCCCCCTCCCCCCCCCCGCCACTCCCCCTGCCCCTGCTAATGCCTCGTCCTGGGAGCCCTTGTAACCCTCCTTCTGGCCGGTAGCCCCACGTTATAAGACATAAGAGTCTCAGAAAAAAAGGGAAAGGGGCGTTACTGATCAAATCTCACTACTGCTCCCAGCACAGCCGCCTGTCCTGGGCTGTCAGAGCCCACCGTGTGCGAGTGTGGACACTGAGCCTCTTGGCCGTTCAGACAGAACGTGAGGGACCAGAGGGCTGAGGCATCTCTGGGCACTTGCTGACATGTGTCCTGTGTGTTCCAGATGTGAGTGAGGTCAAGTCCTGCCCGGACAACTGCACTTGCTCCTCCTGCTCGCCCCGGGCCGCCACCATCAGCGACTTGCTCAATGATCAGGACTTACTCGACGTGATCAGGATAAAGCTGGACCCGTGCCACCCGACCGTCAAGAACTGGAGGAATTTTGCCAGCAAATGGGGCATGCCCTACGACGAGCTGTGCTTCCTGGAGCAGAGGCCCCAGAGCCCCACCGTGGAGTTCCTGCTCCGGAACAGCCAGAGGCCAGTGGGCCAGCTGATGGAGCTCTGCCGGCTCTACCGCCGGGCGGACGTGGAGAGCGTCCTGCGCAGGTGGCTGGACGAGGAGTGGCCCAAGAGGAGGTGTGGGGACCACCCCAGACACTGCTAGACCTCTGCCCCTTCTCCTCCGCCTCTTTGGAACGTTGAAACAACCCAGGTCAGGGAGCGGCGGGAATCTGTTCTTTCTAAAAAAATTTAGCATAAGAACGTGGAACAGCGGTTCCCCCCACGCTGGTGGCTGCGGGGGAAGGGTGCATTATGTTTTGGTGGTGGATTTTTGCTTGTTTAGTTTTGCACACATTTTAATTTAATATTTGAATCGAATTGGCAGAAATGTTTTGTAGGCTCATCTAGGGACCTAGGCCGGGGCCTACGATCAGAACGGGTCCGTGCCGCGATGAAAGGGAAACGATCCTGGCCCCAAGTGCTGCTGAAGGTCGAAGTAGGAACTGGGACGGGGACGGCCCCACACAGCCCGCGCCCACCGGCTCCTGATCTGGGCCCGTGGCCACCACTCTGAGGCAGCAGCACAGAGAGGCCGCCCGTGGGGTTTGTTTGTGACTGTTTTGTTATAACGTTCTCGGTGAATGAACAGAATGCTGGTATTATGTGGTGATACCTTTTAGAACACCTGTCCCCTCGTTTTATACAAATGCTTTTATAGTCTGTGCTCTATCAAAGATGTCATTTGCTTGAGTGTTTTTGAAAGAGATACAAAAAAATCAATGGTCATTGGGAGGGCGGAGTCGGGAATTAGTAGGTGAAAGGGCCGTGGGACTGGGGTTGGCAAAGAGGGTGCAGCCTGCCCCTTGGTCACACACACACAGCCTTTAAAAATTAGCTTGCAGTGGACTTTGACATCTACTACATGAGGCTGATTGTCTCACCCGCCTGAGCGGGAGCTCTACTAACAAAGAAACACAAATCACTTGGCCTGCAGGTGCGCCGCCCCTTCCAACACTTACTGACTCAGCCAAAAGCCACTGAGTCAGCAAGGGGTGGGGGGATCTTTAATGGTGATGCTGGAGGGGAGGATATGCGTTAAAATCCAAATTTTAAACCAAATGAAATACTGGGTCCAAAGATCTAATGTTCTTATATGATGAATAAGGAGGAGGGGAATCACAGCAGACAGAAGCATTTGTTATTGGACAGACTGGATTTTTTAGGATGTGGGGGGTGGGGGTGGGGGGTGGTGCAAAGCCTTGCTGTGCTGGATGGTTTCATGAAAGTGCTACTTGGATTTGGCTGTGGGTTAGAAAATTAAGGCACTTTGTTCAGTTGGGGAGATTCCATATGTCTAATTAAAATAAGCAAAAGTGGTGGATTAACATTGATTAGAGCAGTACAAAAAAGGTTAGTATTAGCTCAAAGGAAAGTTGTTTACTAAACAACCCAACGTTTTTTCAACGAATGGTTACAGTGGTTTTTGTTGGGTTGCTTAATAGAAAGTCAGCCTCACCATCAGATGTAAACTCCAAACTAGCAGACCTACTGCTGCCTCTGACTCAGCTCCCCCTCCTTTGTCAGAGTTATCAGATGAATGTCAGGATGGTTGCGAGATTCATGTAGAGCCACAGCCAGTAGTAAAATGTAGAGAGTTTAAAAAATAGATACTTTTGCATGTCCAGCGAGGTGATGGTAAAATATTTATCATCAGCCATATCCTGGGCCCTGGGCAGACAGACTTCTGAGGGGCTCTGATCTCCTAGGAAGTAGACTTTTCATGCCATGTCCTCAGGAGGTGACGTGTGACACATTTGTGCATGTTAGTCCAAAACTTACTGTGGGTAAACATGGATGAGCTTTCGGTGTTTGTGATCCACGTTTTAGGGAATTGGAACTAACAAGGTTGTGATTATTTAGTGCCACATGGTACTGCACCCTGGCTGTCCGATGGTCATTGCTCTGTGTGTCCTGACACCCCCGTGGGGTATAAAGAGTGGCCAGCCTGACAAGTGTCTTGCTAACTGCTTCCTGGCCAGGTGCCACTAGAAAGTCCCTTCCGTCCCCTGACCGCCGGGGAACTCCCTCCACTCCTTCCTTTTGTAGTCCCCTCCCCCATCACCACCCCTGGGGAACTCATCACCTCCACTGCAGGGCAGCCTGCAGGGCCCGTGACCAGCTGAGGCAGTGGGGGACCTGAGGGCAGAAGAAGGACAGGAGGGAAAACCCCTCTCTGCTCCCGTCTTCCCCCTGCTCCTTCCTCCTCCCACTTGGGGCCCTGACCGCCCCTCCACAGAGAATAGGAGGGCAGGTGGTGCCTCCACCCACCCAGCCCTCACTGCACAGAAGGGGGTGGAAAGGGCTCTGCACGTCCAGAGGCTCCCTCTTCGACCACTGACAAAGGGCAACCCGAGGGAGGAGGGGGTGGAAATAACACTCCCAGCATCACCCTGCTCTCCCCCGGCTGCCCGGCCAGCTTCTCTGGGCTCCTCTCCAGTTGCCAGCTCAGGGGAGGCCCCGTGCTCCTAAATGCCACTCTGGGTGGTGGGACAGCAGCTGGCAGAGGTGGGCTTCTAATCCCGCCAACAGGACCACAGCTGCAGATAAAAGTTTCTACTATCCCAGATTTTAAATCTGGAAAATGGGTGGGAATCTTCCCCTGGAAGCACCTCTACACACAGTGAGGCGGTTCTACAAAACCGTCCGTTCACTGTGTCACAGGTGTGTGAATCGAGAGTGCTCTGTGGGCACACGGTCCCCGCTGGCTCCGCTCCTATGGGACGTGTTCCAGAATTCCAAACTCAGAATTTCAGTCTCCACACTGACCGTTAAAGTGAATGTATCATCATATGTATCTTGCATGTTGCTGTTCCTCCTAAGTGTCCGCTGAACTTACCTTTGAGTCGGATGAAAAATGTCGACACAGAATTCAGGTGCGTTGGTGTGGGTGGAGTTGAGTGTGCTCCGTGTTCTTTAAACTCAGGAAACACAGGAAAACCGGTGACCACAGAGTGCTACCCGCTCGCCTCTCCATTTGGCATCATTACTCCCAGAGTTCTGAGCGCTTTGATTTCTACCCCTGGCCATGAAAGCTTACAATTCCTATTACACTTGCAGGGGGAAATGGCAGCATAGGAGGGATTTTTAAAAATCGGAGAGTTGACGTAAATGTGCTGTTTCAGTTTGCCTCTGTCATCGTCTGCACATACGTCTGTATGGATTGGCATGTACTTTGTGAAAAGTTTTGATTATTAGGGGTCTGATGTGGGTAGAGAGAAATTTAACCAAAAGATTTTAAAACATAAAGTTAACTCGGGCTCTAGACTTTGACTTAATGCAAGATGGCAAGAGTAATCCTCTACAGAGATAGAACTGTAACTCAGTTGTGTAATTACCCAAATACTTAAAAAAATTAATTTATAGCAAGCACTGTAAGGGGGTAAATATGCCAATACTGCACAAGGGCAAGGAAGAAAATTATAACTGATTGAGCTGTTACAACGTAAGGTCATCAATACAGAATGGCTTTGCTGATGCGCTGTCTGCAGGGGTCCATGTTTGGTTGGCCATACTAGGAACTGAACTGCGGGTGCCGAGGTCCTTTTGCTGTTGGAAGGAGGAAATCTCTTGGGCCAGACTCTGAGGCATGCTCTTTTAAACGGAGCGCCCACCAGCAGTGTGACGCGCTACGGAGCAGGCGTTTCATTTGGCTGCAGTGTGTCACCACACGCAGGGGATGAAAGCTAAGCCGCACTGACTCCACACACCCAGGACAAGGACTCACCTAAGGCACGTTATTTCAAGTTGTAAGATTTCAGATGATTAGGGCTCAAATGGTTTGCCAGGATTGGCATCGGTATCATTCAGTGTTAGAGAAAACTCGCCATAATAGACAAGATGCTGTGCCGGTTGCTTCACTGCAGCTGTGTTGTGGTGCTGCCCTCTGCTGGAGGATGGGGCCCACACACCCTTTCTGGCTGGGCAGTGCCTCCCGGAAACCAGCCTAACACCAACTTCTATTATTTGATTGTATGTTTAAAAGCTTAGAAAGTACAGCACTAAAATAGCCCTCCCAGTTAGCCCCACTAAAAATGGGAAGTGCACAGCTATTTCACAAATGGGCAAAGGTACGTAGAATGAGGCTGGCATGAATGAGCGCCCAGTCCCCTGAAGGTGCCCCTACTACATCACCCGTCATTCAGATCGTGTTGTGACAGTTCCCTCTGCTGCCAGGTCCGTACTCTGGGGACCGATGGTTACTTGGTCTCTCCCTTTCAGTTTAGCACTGCCCCAATCCCCGCCATCACAGCACCTGTGGACCAGGAGCACCAGCGCCCCCTCCCTCTGAGACCCTGGCAACAACTCGTTCTTCTGGCTGCAATATTAGTAAATACGGCCCAGCACACTTTCTCCTTTCTTTTTTAGATGAAGAAATGTTTTGTTTAGTTTCCAGCCAAGACTATTCCCCGTATAATATTTTTGACTTCTGCCCTCCGTGTGGTGTGATTTTTCTCTCCTTTGTCCCTGTTTCTGCTTTGTGTCGTTTATCTTAGAGCCATTGGCCCATTTCTCAAGTCGGACCCCTCTATGTGCCTATGGCCTTCGCTCCCCCAGCTACCAGCCAACCTCTACTGTTTTTTTTTTCACTTACACATGTGGAGGCAATCTGTGGGATTGTCTTTCCTATTTAATAGCAGTTGGGGCCTAATAATGTTAAAACTGTTTTCTAACTGTGTAACTGAAACTACATAATGACGCGTGTCCAAAGAACTGAGGAGACTGATCTGTTTGCTCTGTGGGAGTTCAGGCTCCACCTCGGAACCCTGTGCAAGAGGCTCTGATTGCAGGAGACGAGTGTTTGGTGAGCGCATGGCCGCTGCACTAAGTGCTGGGCCCGCCGGAGCTCCATGCAGTGGGTGCGCACCTGGTGGGACCCATCACCTGGAGGAAGACTCGCCGTACAGGTCCTGCTCAGCCTCCACGCCCTCTAGGAATCAACCCTGCAGCTGCACTGAGGTGCAGTTCCACTGAGGTGCAGCTCCAAACGCCCGAGTGCACCACCCGCTCTGAAAATGTAAAAGAGGGTAGCCTTCCGTGACCCCTAAGCTATGGTAGCTCTTCTGTGGTAGAGACAGCCTCGGAGGCAAGCCCTCACAAGCCTTGTGGACGACATTTCTCCAGCCATTGAAGGCAGTGCCTTTAAACGACTGAATTTTTGTGATACTCTATGTTTATACATCATAATGTACTTTTGAAGCTGCCTTCATTTTGATCTGTATGATTTTGTATTTTCTTAGAAATAAAGGTTATTTTTATCTATTATAATGGGTGCTACAAAATTAAAGATTGATGTCAACTGCCATGTCTTAATCGGTGCTTGTATGTAGATTCCAACACAGTCATCGATTCACGTGTTCTGTGGGTCAATCAGAAGTCTAGTGAGCTTATAACATGTGTCCTGGGCATTGAGGGTGCAAAGATAAGCAGCACCTTCCACTGTCCTGGAGCCTGTGGACTCAGGAGAATCACTGCGCACAAGAGAGGTGCTCCTGGTGTACAGCTCAGTAACTGCATAGTCACTGTTGTGCAGCAGATCTCTAGGATTTTTCACCTTTCAAAACTAAAACTCTGGGTCTTGGCCAGGTGGTACAGTTGGTTAGAGCTTTGTCCCGATACACCAAGGTTGCAGGTTCAATCCCCAGTCGGGTCACATACAAGATTCAACCAATGAATGCATGAATAACTGGAACAACAAATTGATGTCTGTCTGTCCGTCTCTCTCAAATCAATAAAACAGAAATTTAAAAACCCTTAAACTCAGTACCCATTAAACAACTCCCCACTTCTTCCTCTTACCCCAGCCCAGAGCAACTACTATTCTTTCTGTTTCCATGAATTTGACTACTTTAGACATCTCATTTCAGTGAAATTATCTTAATTGTCTTGTTGTGACTGACTTATTTTGTTTAGCATAATGTCCTATATTCATCCATGTGGTAGCATACATAGCAGGATTTCCTTTATAATGCTGAATAATATTCCATTTTATGTATGTATCACATTTTGTTCATTCATCCGTCACAGGCACTTAGGTTGTTCTCACCTCTTGGCTATTGTGAGTAATGCTGCTATGAACACAGGTATAAAAATATTTCTTTGAGATTCTGCTCTTAGTTCCTATGAATATGTACCCAAATGAGGGATTGCT